CTCACTGCATGCTGCTTTCTTGTCTCTCACAACAGCATGCTTCTTCACTTCTCTCATGCCCTTGCTGCTGCGGCTCATGCTGTTGACATGCTCGTGCTGGTAAACATGCTGAGCAACCCCAGTCTTCTCTGACTCATCAGACCATGAGAACCTCCCCATGAAGGAAAAATCATGAAGCTCCCAAGGCTCATTCATCTCATTCCACCTGTTCTCCAGCTCATCCCAGTCGAAGAACATGTCGTTCAAAGCAATGAGCTCATCTTCATCCTCATCTGGTTGCGACAGGATGGCAAACCTGTTGTGGCATGTCACCTGCTCACGAAGACTGATGCTCCACACCATGGCGTGATACAGATGCACACTCACTTGAAAACCTATGTCATGAAAAAGGCACAATGTGAAACTTAATGAAACAAATGCCTAAAGCTCAAAATCACATTTTATCAAAAACTCATGCCCACAGCTCATCCACAATGCTTGTCATGCTCACAGCTGATCGAAAGCACTGCATGCAAGCGGTGTCATGCAGCTCATGCCCACAGCTCATCTAAGTCACTGCATTTGTGCGGCTTCATGCAGCTCATGCCCGCAGCAGTGTGTCAGGTTTGGGCTTTTAGGGTTTAGGGGTTATTTTCAAGGATTTATATAAGGTTTAGGGATTTAGGGTTTAGGGTTTAGCTACAAGGGTTTCAGGGTTTTAGGGTTTTAGGGTTTTAGGGTTTAATTGGTTAGAAGGCTTTAAGGTTTAGGGTTTTGGGGTTTAGGGTTTAGTTCGAAGGGTTTAAGGTTTAGGGTTTTAGGGTGTAGGGTTTATTTCGAAGGGTTTAAGGTTTAGGGTTTTAGGGTTTAGGGTTAAGTTAAAAGGGTTTAATTAAGGTTTAAGGTTGAGGGTCTAGGGTGTAGTTAAAGGGTTTAGGGATAAGGGCAGTATGGGGTTTGGAGTTTTGGCATTAACTACTTGGAGGATCATGGGACTTAGTAAGTAAGGTTATAAGTACCCTAACTGGGGTTATAAGTATAGTTAATTACCCTAATTATAACCCTAGTTAATTACTAAGTCCCATGATCCTTTAAGTAAGGGCCCAACCCTCCCCATGTGTTTCGCTGCTCTCATGCGAAGATCAGAAAGCCATCCCCTCATCGCACCCATGAAAAATGCCATGCTGCTTCATGCATTGATTACTTACTCATGCGGCGCTATGCCGAGCTTAACCTGATCCTAAACCCTAAACCTTAATTAAACCCCAAACAAACCCAAAGACTAATCTTATCCCTAACTGAACTAATTAATGCAGCTCATGGCTGGCGTCATGGGTGCTTTTAAAAAAGCCCATCTCCTCATGGGATCTACAGCCTTATGGCTCATATACGAGCCCATCTCCTCATGGACTCATGGCCGGGCTGAGGGCTCATGCCTCCGCCTCAATGGGCATGAAATGCCCATGGTAGGACCGCATGATCGCTTTGGGCTCTGGCCCATGGGTCTCAACCCATGCTCTGAATTTGGCCGGCTCATGGTGGGAACGGGCCATGCCGTGCCAGCTTTTGATCAGCCAATGCTTGCCTCGGCTGAATCTTATTACTAGCTAACTAATAAATTACCATAACATATTTCTCAATAATCTATTAACCGTAACAAATTATGGAAAATTGATACTTAAATTATTCCCTGAGCTGCCTCTCATGTCGCCCCACACAGTCTCCCATGATGCCAGCTCAAAGATCTCCGTCCTGAAAGGGCTGGGGGGGGTTAATTGGGCCTTATGGGGTTTGGGCTCTAATTACTCTCAATTATGAAGGCTGTCCTCATGGCAGACTCCATGTTCTGCGTCACCTCGCTCATGACCATGTGCTTATCGCTGATCTCATCATTGCGAGGATCATACAGCCTGGGTTTAGGGCTTAGGGTTTAATTATGTTAATTAAAGTAGGGGTTAAGTAGGGTTTACTTAGGAGGGTTTAATTAACCCTAATTAAACCTTAAACCCTAAACCCTAATCTAAAAAAAGAACTACTGCAGCATCCAGACTCATCGCTGTCATACTCATGGGTCCGGAACAATGCCAGGCTCACCTGCAGGGTTTAGGGTTTAGGGATAGTTATGGTTTTACAGGGGTTAGGGGGGGGGGTTTTATGTTTTTGCCAGGGGCCTCCACCCATGCCACCGTGCATATGATGCGCCAGTGCTGATGCAGCATTGGATGGCTCATGACAATGTCATGCTCCTCATGCACGAACTCAAACCCGAAGCACTCCTAAACCCAATCCTAATTGCACCCTAAACCCTAATTAATTACTTATTATTTAAAAAACACTAATTAATACCAGGGGAGGAGCATAGAGCATCCACGTGTGGAGGAGCTCATCTCTCATCCACTGATCGCAGCGCCATTGCCTCATGTATGGGCTTCAGAGCTTAAAATATGTAATTTACATTCTTATTATGACTAATTAATTACTAATGACGGTCCGAGCCACTGCCAATTGACCAAAACCCATGATCGCCCCGCCATGAGCCTGGTGGCAACATGGCGGAGGCGATCGCGGAAACTGCCATGGACTTCGTCCTTGGCTCAAGACAAATGTAATTAAACCTGTAATACCTCATTAACTAATTAATTTAAAATACAAAAGATGCTTACTTATCCGGCCCATGACGGCTCGCCGCTCCATGTTATGGAGCAACCCATGGATCTGACTCATCAGCTGGCCCATCCTCGGCTCCAAATAATTAATGAATTACTAATGACCCAATCCTAAGTAATTAACCAAGTAATTACTCACAATTGCCAATCATGCCCCAGTCTCTCAGCCATGGTTCCCATGGTTCCCTCGTTGCCGCTCATGTTGGAGCTCATGGCCAATGGGTGGGGATGCGGCGCTTATGCGGGCACTCTTGAGCTGATGGCAAGCTCATGGCCGGCCACATTTGAACCCCAAACCCCTCAACCCCCTCAAGTCCTTGAACCCCTTCAAACCCCCAACCCCCTATTGTAATAATACTATACTACTGTACTGCTTCTATAGAAGCAGTACAGTAGTATAGTATTATTACAATAGTACTAGACTTCAATACTACTACTAAACTACTGTACTACTACTATACTACTGTTCTACTACTCAACCCCCTCAACCCCCTCAACCCCCTCAAGTCCTTGAACCCCTTCAAACCCCCAACCCCCTATTGTAATAATACTATACTACTGTACTGCTTCTATAGAAGCAGTACAGTAGTATAGTATTATTACAATAGTACTAGACTTCAATACTACTACTAAACTACTGTTCTACTATTATACTACTGTAATACTACTATACTACTACTGTACTACTGTACTACTGTACTACTGTACTACTGTACTACTACTTAATCGGGGGGGGGCGGTAAAAACTTGAACCCATGAACAAGTTCAAGCGGGCCAACCTTGACAGCGGGGGGGGGGGGTTGTTAATCGGTATCCAACATTAGCTCCTCTTTTGGATAGCAGATTGCATCAGTACTTCATGGTACCCCCGGGAGCAGAAGCTCCTTGCCATTGAAGACCGATGTAAACTAAAAAGTGCAGTTGACTATGTGGCAGATAGGCGTTGCCTGAATGAGAGCCGCGAGCGTTGCCCGACGTGTCGGGTGTAGGCTGCTCTCTCAGTAATAGTTGATTCGAACTGACAGCCCTACGGAAGATGGAAGCCAAGATCGCTGAGAGTGGCCTTAAGCGCACTCGGCAACCGGCAAGGATTGGATATACAGTATGCCGCTAGTGTAACGCGATCTGTTAGGCTCCAGCCACGGGTGCAATGAACATGATTGTGAGCAGGGAAAATAAGTGCCTGGAAGGCCAAGCTAAATGGGCGGCCGCTCAGTAGGCCAAGATCAGTTTCCTCGTAGTCGGTGCCATGCCAGGATTCTACCCAGACTGAGCCTTCGTCATGATGAGAGAGGCTGAGCAACAACGTGCCCGTCTTGGAGTTGGACTGATCTCGATGTGGAGGCGTGCGAACGTTGTAGTTCAATGAAAAAGTATTCCATTTGTGTTCTGGGCAGATGTGCTCAATCAGCCGGTTGAGCAGACGACAGAAGGATCCATGCCGAACTGTGTCAGCACATAGCCCAATAGGTCCACGTGCAAAGGCGCCAAAGGTGACATTGTTGGCATTGCTGTTGGAGAAGCGCTGGCGACCCGGCCGCCATACCAGAGCTCGAACTGCTGTACGTACAGCACACCAGAGCGGTGATTGTGCATCCTGCAGAAGATGCCATGCCAGAACCTCTGCGCGTGGGGCCTGCGCGTCCAACTCACCGTAGGGGAAAGGCATGTGCGTGTCAAGGCTGCGAGGAAGACAAGGTTGCAGGCGTGCAAGGTAGCTGGACAATTCCTGCATCCGGTTCTGGCCAAAGGTCTGAGTGGCCAGATGTAGCAAATCATTGTAGGAGAGCACCCCCGCTTCTGCCGGAAGTGATAATGGCGGTTGTCTAGCAGCCAGCGTATGCATAGCTTGTAACAAGAGATACTCCTCGAGGGCCACGGCGTACAAGTCCGGTGGGAAGTCTCGGGTTTGGAGCATGCCGTGAAGAGACTCCTGGCTAGTCCTGTTGCTGAAGCCGCAAGAGCTTGGAAACTGGAACAGTCCCGCAGACCATTGCACATGCACATGCAGTGAAGAAAGCAAGTGATTCCTGGGGAAGTGATGCCCCGCTCTAAGACATCAGCAATGCAAAGTGGCCGATACCTATTGATCCGAGGTCCAACTTTGCCGTTGGGAAGCACTCAGTTCTCGGTGGCAGGACGTTGCCTGGCGTCAATGCGGGCGTTGCCCGAGTAGCAGGCGATGCAATGCAAGGCTAGCGCAGGAAGAGTGGTATGCCTGCTATCCGACAACTCTCATTGACGACGCAGGACGTTGCCTGGCTGCAGCTGGGGCGTTGCCCGTGTGCAAAGCGAGGCAAAACGCAACAGTCAGCAAAAGGTGAGACGCGTGATGCCACTTGTACATTCAACGGCTCAGCGGTAATAGTCGTGGTAGTCGGAGTTCTTGGCGGCATAGGAGTTCTCTTCCCAGTCTTCCCAGTCTTGCCAGTCCTGGGAGCCGGCAGATCGGGAGTAATGACCTGATGAGGTCCCTTGAGACCCATAAGAGTCTGACCTTCTTGACTCCTTGTTCTCCCTGTAATCAGCTTGCCGTTCTCGACGACTACGAAGTTGCTGGCCTGTGGCATTGCGAATGACGTTCAGCTTGCTGTCCAAGACCTGGCCGTGCGTGATCTTAATTGGTGGGGTGGCTGTCGCGCGTGGCCTGGATGATATTGACATGGGAGGGCTGGTGTGCCTTTTTGGTGGCGGCTTCGTAGATGGTCTGCAGGGTCGTCGCGAAGAGGCGAAACTCATCCTGGGTAGCCAACAGAGCATAGGGGACCCCGTTTTTGATGATCGCCTGAAGACCCCCAAGCCAGGTCGTGAGCTTGGGGTGGATGTGCTCCTGGCCGGTGCGGTCCTTCGTGACCATCGTCAGGTGGCCGGAGGGGTGGACAACGAGCCTGCCCGAGATCACGGAGCGCCAGCTGAGGTCTTTGCGATCGTCCCCAGGCTTCTGGTAGACCGTGCTGAGGCCAGCGAGCACCGTAGGCGGCTTGGCAAGCACCTGAAGTCGGGCGTTCCATATCGCTGTGAACTCCTGGGGCTGAAGGACACCTACGACTTCTGGAGCCGTCAACGACTGGAGGTCCGCCACAGCCACCACCCAATCGTAGAAGTCTTTCTCGCCACAAAGCTCCTCCATTGTAGGTGGAGTGTCATCTGGCTCTGGAGGAGGAGCTTCGTGACGATGCGGTGCATCAAGGATGGCTGGCCGCGGTGCGGCGTATGGCGGAGGGGAGGCAGGCTCGCTGGGTCGCTGGTTGCTAGAATCCGAGGAGGAAGCTGTCGTAGCGTTCGGGCCTGAGCGCTGAGTAGAAGCTCTAGCGGCTCTAGCGTAGGCCTCCTCCCCTGCGTGATGCCATGTAGCACCGCTGCCGCGAGTCCGCATGAAGTGTGGCAAGAGACCCTGGGAGGTGTGGAACATGCAGGGTCCACCCGACCTGCCTGTGCAGAAGACACAGCACAGGGTGTCGCCATGTTCAGAGGTGCCTATGCCCAGACCACGTGGGATGAGCTCCTGTACCTGCTGTTTGGTGAGCTCGCCGTAAAACCGAGGCCACTTTTCTATGAGCTGCACAATCCTGTCGAGGAGGCTGGTTTCGAGCGCCTCGAGCACATGGGCCTGGATGGTTGGGCACCTGGGTTGAGGAGGCGTTGCCTCGCTGAGCCGTGGCGTTGCCAGCCTCCTGTGCATCATGAAGGGCAGTAGGGAGTCCACGAAGGATGGCGTCGTTGTTGGCTCTGGTGGAAGCTGGATCTGCCTTCCAGCCTTTGTTCCAACCCCAGCATCGAGTAAGAGCAACAAGTTGCTCGGTAGCTGTCCGGAAACCATGTCCCTCGTTGGGAGGAGCATGCGGCGTTTTCTTCAGCGCATTCTCATGGACCTCCTGCAGCAGGTAGATCGGGCCCATGGTCTGAGTGAGATGCCAGCCAGGAGCCAAGCTGCGGCCTTGCACCGTCGGGTGAAGAACCTGGTCATTGAGCAGGTCCTGGCGTATGACCTCGTAAAGAGCAACGCAGAAGAAGAGGTACTTCTCGTTAACGGTGCCCTGAGCATCCACATACTTGTGCTGGAAGGCATGGCGCAAGGCAGCTGTCATGAGGGGGTGCTGCTGGCGTCCAAGAAGTATTCCCTGGAAGATGTGGTCCTTTTTCTGGCCAATGGCCGTGAGAAAGTAATCAGGAGGACCACTAGCTCGCAAGTTATCGGCGTCCCAACCGTAGGCCTGGGAGGCAAGGTCGGAGAGGAGTGGCTGTTGCCTCCACTCGGCCACGATGGAGGAGTGAAGCTCCTGCGGCGTAATCAGGAAAGCAGTCTTGATGTCCAGGTAGATGCCGCCACGGAGCCAGTGCTCGACGTATCTGAAAACATCAGCGCGATGCGCGTTGCTTTTGAGCTTGGAGAGAAGGCGTTGCCCTGCTCCTCCAGAGACTGAACGTACCACGTCCATGCAGGCCTCGTCATTGAAGAATTCTCGACGGAAGTTCCCGAATTTCGCCGCTACCATTTCCTTGGGACCAACCATGTCATCGTGGATGCCCAGAGGACCGCCGATTGAAAAAAATCAAGCGGGATTGAAAATTCTCAGCGTTTTGATTGTGTCGATCAAATTCAATAGAAAACGATCTTTTTCAATAGAAATTTAAATCCTCAAAATCAATAGAACTGCGACATAAAAATCAATAGAAACCTCCACATCAAAATCAATAGAAAATCTCCATACAATCAATAGAAATTTTCCATAAAACCAATAGAAATTTTCCATAAAATCAATAGAAATTTTCCATAAAATCAATAGAAATGTTATCTCAAATCAAACGAGAAACACTTCTGACATCAATAGATTTCAGCGCTATCTCTGCCTCCACCACTATATATAATACCTCTACCTCGACCTCAACCTGTACCTTTATCCGTATCTCTGCCTGTATATCTCTACCTTTACATCTTTACTTCTTTATCTCTCTATCGCTGTATATCTCTCTATCGCTCTACCGCTCTATCGCTCGATCTACCGCTCTACCGCTCGGTCGCTCTATCTCTCTATCTCTTATATCTCCCTGTCTCTCTATCTCTCCATCTCTACCTGTATTTTTATTTCTATATATCTATCTCTTTCTTTTTTCTCTTTCTCTATCTCTCACTTTCTCTTCCCCACCCTTTCCCAGAAGGCTTCCAGCCTAACACTTCTTTTTCACAGCAGCGGCAGGGAATCTTGGGTGAAGCTTCTTTTGAGCTCTCCTTCGAAACTTGGCCTTGTAAAGGCCTCGGAGCCTAACTTTCAAAAACGGTTCCTGGCTACTTGGACTTGGACGTGGAATTGGACTCAGGCATTCCAGCCTAACACTTCTTTTCCACAGCTGCGGCAGGGAATCTTGGGTGAAGATTCTCTTGAGCTCTTCCTCAAAACTTGGCCGTGGAGGCTTGGAGCTTACCTTTCAAAAAAAAGCTCCGGGCTACTTGGGCTTGGACTTGGTATTGGACACTGGCAGCCCGCATGGCTGCAAGCCGTCCCTGACTCTCGGGTTTTGCTTGATGATCATTTTTTGAATCGGGGACAAAAAATCCCAAACGAGAAGGTGACCCGGCGGAGCTTCCGCTTCAGCTTCCTGTGAGGGGTCGTGGTAAAAGTCAGGCTCCTCTGGCCACTCCTTCATGGCCTGCTCAAAGTCACTCTGAGTGATCGGAGGGTCATACATGCCCAAGACCATCGTTTCCTGGCTCAGGCTCACGTTGTCCGGGCTCTGGTTTGGCCCCTTGGCCATGGTCTCGGCAGCTTGGCAAGCTTCCCAAACGGCTTCCAGACCTCCATCCGAGTTGTCTTCTTCCTGCAGATCTGTTTCGGCGTAAGGGTTTAAAAGCTGGTTATGAGGGTATAGGGGTTCACATCTATCTATCTATATATATATATATATATATATACAAAATCTATATATCGCACTGAAAGAATCCCGCCTCGAGAGCAAAGCAGGTGGCGGCTGCAGGCCTCTTGGCTGTCGTCTCTGCCGGAGTCTCCAAGGTGGCGTCTGGCCTCTTGACTGTCGTCTCTGCCGAAGTCTCCAAGGTGGCGGCTGGCCTCTTGACTGTCGCCTTTGCAGAAGTCTCCAAGGTGGCGGCTGGCCTCTTGGCTGTCGTCTCTGCAGGAGTCTCCAAGGTGGCGGTTTGGCTCTTGGGAGCTTGGCCACTGGAGGTCGTGGAAGTCGCAGGTCTTTTCTTGACGACCTTGACCTTGACGACGGCCTCCTTGTCTGCGAGCTTGGCAGCTGGCTTCTTCGAGACCGGGGCCTGTCGAGGCACAGCCAAAACTTCAAAAAACAGACTTAAGCTCGACAAGCTCACAGGCAAGTATCTGGCCTGCCGTGCGGCCGGCTTCTTCTGGCTTCCTACTTTTGCCATCTGAAGAGCCTATAAACTGCAGCTATAGACGGCGACACATTTTTAAGCGTCCGGATTATACCACTTGGGAATGTACGTATAGGGCCGTCCGGCCCTTAGCAGATGGCGCAAGCGACTTGTTTTCCATGGGCCGTTTGCAGTCGGCCTGGACCTGGACCGTTTGAGCAGCTTATGGCTCATGGGCCGCTTGCAGTTGGCGTGGACCTGGACCGCTTGCAGCTTGGCTGCTTGGGTCAGCTTGGCTCATCCAGCACTAGCAAGCCCTTTAAAAGCAGATGCCAAAACGTCCTGTACTTGAACAGGATGGTTTCCGGCACCTTGTGAGCTGCAGTGCCTGAAAGGCAAGCATTGGCGATGTGAGACATCAAGCCCATAAAGGATTCGGAACCATACGTCCAAAAAAACCTGGGGGCCAAGTGCTGCGAAACTTCTGGCAAGTGTGCCGTCATGTGAAACTTGGAAACTTGGCTATATCGACACTGCTGGGCATCAAAAGCCAGCTTGGCAAGATGGCCGTAGTGCTTGGTCAAGCACTGGACTTGGTCGGCGAATTTTCGCCTGACGTCCTGGGGCCACTTGAAGTCTTGCCTGTCCAGCAAGTCGTAGATGTCCCGCAGCGACTCAAGGACACGAAGTCGGTGCAGGCTTCGGCGATCATCTTGGGAGCCTGAAATTGCTGTAGAACTTTAAACAAGAATAAGGTCGTGTTCACATTTATAGATATAATGCAGCTTAGACACTGTACCTCCTGGCGAGCTCCACAGCAACAGGCATGAAATGCCTGATTCGCCTGCCCTTCTGGTGCTTGAGGCAAGGGTACTCATTGGCACTGCTGGCAATGTCAGACTTCCATTTCAGGTTCGGCAACCTGGTGCCTGAAGGAATGCCTAGCTCCTGGTAGATTTCCTGGATTTCGGCATTCAGGCAACTCATGTTGGTGTCCCTGGAACCTGGCTTGGAGTCTTCGATGATCTCCCAAAGCAGATTCCCCACCACATGGCAGGACACACCGAGGTCCAGGACGTGGAGGACGTCAAGCTTCAAAGCCTGAGCATTGACGCCTTGGACCTGGAAAAGCGGGTGCTCCAGCCTGGCTTCCAGCTGCCTTGGCCTGAGTGTTGTCCTTCTCCAGCCTGCTTCCTGGCGAAAGTCGTTCCAGCAGTTCTCGCCCTCTTGGGTGCAAGCGCACCAAAGGCAAGGGTTGGCTTGGTTCGGCCTGGGGAACTTGAATTCCTGGTAGAAGAACTCCATGTCCCCTGTGATGCAGTAGATCACTCCTGGCCTGAACCGCCTGGAGGTCGTTGGGCACCTTCCTGAGGCCATGGCTTGGAGGGACTCGCAGAGCTTGGTCCAAAGATCTTCCATGAGCTTGGGCGTGATGCACGACTTGGGAATGCAGGCCAGCAACAATTGGCTGCTTGCCTGGACTGCGAAAGCAAAAATTAGAGACACCAAGACCTAAATGGTGATTTTGCGGTCGTACTGCCGAAAGAATACTAGACAAGCCAAGCGTCAATCGAACGTCGTGACGTTATCGCTCTCATGGATATCACAAGCAGACTGTCCACCTTGGAGTGGGGAGCTGCGTCGCCGTGCAAAGCGAAAGGGACCAAGGCTTGGGTGTCCTGGAAAACTTGGTCAAAGTAGTCCTGGCTTTGCGACACCCTGGAGTTAGCGCCTTTTTGGCTGTCCCAAAACTTGGCAATGTCCTGGATACCCAGGATGTCATCGTCCATGCCATCCAGGCTTAGCATCCAGTTGTGCGGAAGCATGACTGGAAGCTTGCAGTCTACCTGGATTTTTTGGCCTGTGGCGCTTTTCCCCCATGCCTTGGTCTGCACGACCGTTGGGTCTGGAGCAGCCATGTCCTTGAAGACCCTGGAAAGCAGCTGGTGGTGCGTGTGGTTCGGGTTAACACCATGCGAACCCAAGCTGGCAAGTCCCACAAGGTCGGCCTGGGAGCAGCCTGACTTGACAGCTGCCTGGGACAGCTCCTGGACGACCTTGGCGCTCAGGTCTCCCAAACACCACAGCCTTAAAAGGGCCACCGCAAGTGGAGATTCTGGCTTTATCTCGCGACAGGAGGAAGAGGAAGCTTGGTCCTCCGTCTTCCTTTTCCTCCCTGACATGGCTTCGCCTGGACATCTAAACCTAAACCTGGCTTGGTCCTCGAAGCTTCAAAGCGGGGAATTTGCAACTTGAACACGAGAACAAAGGCAGTTTGCAGCAGTCCCTGGCAGCAAAACGCTTCTTTTTGGCGCTTGAAACTCCAGCTTTAGGTTTCAGTAGGCTCTCTCCCTTGAACTGCCTTTGCTCTTGGAGCCTAAGAGGCTGGAGGGTTCAAAACATCCAGACTGCGTGGCCTGGACTTAAGGCCGTTCACAGCTTGGAAAACCCTGCCTGCCTGGACTTCATGAAAACTATAAGCTAAAATCTCATCAGGAATAGCTGCCGGGTCAAGACTCAAGACTTCTAGCTTTTGCTGGACTCTGCAGGGCCGTGGTACCAAAGACTGTTGCGTGTTACACGTTGCTTGAGCTTGGGCCTCTATGCAGCCATCCTGAAAAAAAAAACTGCTCAGGCGTCCTTAAGGGCCTTAGTGAGTTCCACCTTAAGCTTCTTGGAAGCTTGGAGGGTGGTCACCGCGTCAAGCAAAACGGGCTTCATGTCCTCCATCTTGCAAGCCTTCTTGCCAGCCAGGGTCGTGCGGATCCGCTCCAAAGCCTGCAGCTGCTTGGTGAGGGACTTCAAGAAGGTGGCCTTGTCGTCCAAGCCGCTGCCTTGGATCTGGAGCTTCAAGCCCTGCAAGAGACCGTATTCCTTGCCCAGCTCAGTGACGAAGAGCTTGGCCTGGAAATGGTTGGGCGAACAAACAGCTACAGAAACGGTTCGAGCTAAACTTAATTTGAAAAAACAAGCATGAATCGAGTGGCCTTCTCCTTGAGCTGTTCACTAGTGGTCTCTTGGCTGACTTGGCTGGCTTCCTCCCACTTGTTCGTCTTGGCCTTGGGCTTGGGCTTATTTCCACCCTTGTTGTTGTTCTGCCCACTGCCGCCTGGCAAGCCCACGAAGGCCTTGAGCTGGCTGTCCTCGTCGTCACCTGAGACTTCGCCTAAGTCGAAGTCCTCA